AGACTCCGCAATTCCAAAAAAAATTGTTTTCCACAATTAAAATCAAAAAAAAACCCGTCGGACCCCCATTTACAAAAAAAAAAAAAATACAACATAAAAAAAAAAAAAAAAAAAAACAAGCAATTGCCAAATAGATAGTTGTTGACAATCTATTATTTAATATAATTAAAAAAAAAGAATACAAAAAGATGATGAAAATTATCGATCTAGCCTTTAAATTTCCTACTAATAAAAAAATCAAGAAAAAAATCAATAGCAAATATTCTAATGCAGTTGAAGACTTAAAAAAATTATTAGATAATACCTGTAAGTCAGCATCTCTAACAATAGATCTATAGACTGCATGTAGTAAGTATAGGTATATTGGTATAATACTCCATTAGCTATCAAATGATTTTAAAATATATAATTACTTTCTTTATATGGAGATATGCTGTATCCTCATTCTGCTGAAATTATAGTTGCTTTTTTAAAAAAAAAAGTTTTAGAGTTTGAATTAGATAGAAAAATAACATGTGTTATTACTGATAATGGTAATAATATAGTTAAAATGATTAAATTGTAGAAAGGAGTTGAATATTTATCCTGTATAGTCCATACTCTGCAATTATCAGTTGCACATGCATTTAAAAAGATAAATAGTTATATTAAGTAAATAAAAAAACTAGTTTAATTTTTTACTAACTCCCCTAAGCAAAGTAAGCGTCTTGATAAGGCACAATTAGAGTATTAACAATCACAAATTCAAAATAATACATGTAATAGTGATAGTAATATTAATGTATTAAATTCAGATGATAGTGATTCAGATAATAGTAATTCAAATAGTATATCATCAATAAATATTATTACAGGTTCTGAAAACCCTATTCGAAATATTTCTAATATAAAGACAAGGTAGAATTCTAAATACTATTCATGAAAATAACTATTTAAATTGTATAAAGCAATTGAATAGTTGGCTGTGATATTGCTTTTATCTGATAATTCAAATGATCAGTTTGATGGTCAAAAATTAAAAAAACTACTTCTTTCTTCACATGAATGAGATTTGTTAAATCAAATTATTATATTATTAGAACCCTTTGATGATACTACTATCTATTTTAGTAACTCAAAATATGCTATTTTATCTATTATATATCCTTTAATTCAAGTACTTAAATATAGATTTGTTGATACTGCAGTAGGTTATGATAATTCAGATGATGAACAAGGTAATAAAAAATAATTTATACTGTATGATATTATACTGTAACTAAAATTTATTAAATTATTAATAGATATTCCTAACTTTCACCATGAAGAATTGTTTGAGGATAATAGTGAAAATTCAGATTCTGATATTTCAAAATCTCTTACTAATTTAGCTAGTGATTCTCTGTTAAATACTCAAATTGTCAAAACAATACAATACATCATTTATGATTCCTTGTTTGAGTATTAGAATAAATCTGTAATGATTAGTTTACTTGCATCACTTTTGGATCCTTGTTTAAAAATACTTTCAAATTAGGATAAAGAAATCCAAGAAAAGACTAAAGCAAAGCTAAAGCATTAATTTAAAACTTTAATTTCTATAAACTATAAGCAAACATCAATATATACTAATTCAAAAAGTAGAAATACCTATCATAGTCATTTACATTCATCTATTTTTGATATGTCTACAACTAGTAGTACTAATTTCTAGGCTCTTAGCTAAATTAGAGTACTACTTAGATACTACATGAACACCTCTTGTTAAAGATAACGAAATCTATTCAAATGGTAGGAAAATTAGAAAATAAATTTTCCTAATATTGTCAAATTAGCCAAAAAGTATTTGTTAATCATCGCATTCTCTGTATCTAGTGAAAGGTTATTTTCAGATGCAGATAACTTTATTACTACTAAATATACCTCACTAAATTCAAAATTAGTAAGTAAAATAATGTTTATTAAAAGAAATTCAGATATAATTTTAATATTTTAGAATTGGCTATATACATTATAAAAAAAAAAAGAAAGGTTGATCATAAATTGCAACTTATCTTACTGTATTATTCAACTAAGAATTCTATCTTATTATTTTATTGCATATATTACTAGTATTTTTATTTAATATTGTACTTAAGGATGATTAGGTTTTGGTTAGATTCTAGTAGGTTTTAAGAAATTAATAATTTTTGAATTGATTTTGTTTTTATTAAAATTTATCAATTAAGTTGTTAATCATAAAATTTTAAATTTAAAAATTTTAGGATGATAATTTGAAACCTAGATTATATGTAATTTCTTTTAATCATGATGATGTAGTAAACTCTAAAATAACTATTTTTAATGATACTTATTATTTAATAGCTTTATAGCTTCTATTTGTTATGCTTATAAAAATTAATAAGTAAATTCATTTAAAATTTTATGATTAATAATTTTAATTGATAACTTTTAATAAAAAAAAACTTGCTTAGAACTTTACTGATTAGAACCTAATTAGACCTAACCTAAGTTGCATATAGAAATTGGAATTGATGAATAATTATTCGATCATTGATCAAAAGTTTAGAGCATCGAAATAAGTATTAATTTATTGAGTTTTTAATTTATTGATTATCAAGTATTAGTCTAAGTTAAATGATAGCAATAGTGATAAATTTTTTTATTATAATAAATAAAGTTTTAATAAATAAATATTTCACTATATAATAAAATTAATATACTACACTAAATATTTTTAATATAATCTAATATTTTTTTAATATCTATTCTATATTATTAAAACATAAATATCTGCAATATTAATTTTTTTTTTTTTTTAACCTTTCAGCAATCATACCACAACTTTATTGTAGTAATTGGAAAGTCTCCACATTACAATCCTACAGCCTAAGCTAATACTATCCCAAGTTGTAACTCACCTAGTTACCAAATAGTACCTAGATGCGATCTGCTATACTCAACAATTCTCTCAATACTAGATTATAAGAACTACATTCCTCCTCTAATATTTTACCAAAGCATGTTGATAGCGTATTATGACTGCCTGTTATGACTAATCTTGCTTAAGGAAGATTCAAAAACAAGAAAAGAAAAAGAAAACAAATATAAAGAAAAATGAAAGAGAGAGGCTTAAATAGAAAAAATTTATAAGCAAAGCTAATAAATTTTTTCTAAATACTACTCTACTCATAAAAATTATATAAAATACTAACACTATATTCTATATCTCTTAATTAATTTGCTCCTTACGCTATTAATCTAAATTAGTTACGATCTGTGATTGGCTTAATCACATGTGCTATCTATTTAGTAAACAAAACAGATCACCTGTTTTGTTTACATGATCTTTTCCCAAAATAGATTGGTAGTATGAATATTGATCCTTTTACAGAGAGTAGCCGAATCCCCACTTTTTATAAAATAAATTTGCAAAAAGATTTTGACGTCGATGTAGAGAGACATTCTGTATTTTTCGAGTTATAGGAATGACTAGAGGGAGGTGGGTGCGAAAACTCTAACCAGAGTTAAAGAATAGTAGTACTGCTTAACCCAGTCTAAGTAGTTTTGTTAAAGCTTATCTTCAGACTTTGCTTCAGCTGTAAGTAAACGAAGAAATAATAAGACCCGCTAAAGTCAGCAGCTTTGCTCCAGTAGGCTACTTACAAACTAGTAGTATTAGTATAATATTAAACTCAAACTAGTTATGAGCTTTATTCCCCACGCTATACAATAATATTTCTTGCTGGGTTGTTGTTTTTGAAATTTTTGTTGTTGCTCTGTATTAGGTTTTAGTGATCAGCGGAAAGAGTTCGATGTCTGCAACATTAATCAGTTTCATTAAAATCATAAATATAAATATTTATTTATAAATACTTATTACTAAATACTTATTTACAATTAATTCCTTAATACTCTTTGATTCATTTTATTCTAAAAGTGTATATTAAGATGATTTATTAATGTTAAGTAGTGGAATTAAAATCATAAATATAAATACTTATTCATAAATATTTATCTCTAAATACTTATTTACAATTAATTAGCTAATATCCTTCAAATTTCTTCACATTAATATAGTTAGTGAGTATAAAGATGATTTATTAATATTAATTAGTGGAATTAAAATCATAAACATAAATACTTATTTATAAATACTTATCTCTAAATATTTATTTACAATTAATTATCTAATACTTTCAAATTATTTCATTCACATTAATATAGTTAGTAAGTATAAAGATGATTTATTAGTATTAATTAGTAGAATTAAAATCATAAATATAAATACTTATCTCTAAATATTTGTAATTAATTACCTAATACCCTTCAAATTATTTTATTCGCATTAATATAGTCAGTGAGTATAAAGATGATTTATTAATGTTAATCAGTAGGAGTTAAAATCATGAATATAAATACTTATTCGTAAATACTTAATACCCTTCAAATAGTGTGTAAGTATAAAGATTATTTATTAATGTTAAGTAGTAGAATTAAAATCATAAATATAAATACTTATTTATAAATACTTATTACTAAATACTTATTTACAATTAATTACCTAATACCCTTCAAATAGTAGATGAGTATAAAGATGATTTATTAATGTTAATCAGTTTAATTAAAATTATGAACATAAATACTTATTTGTAAATACTTATCTCTAAATACTTATTTATGATTAATTACCTAATACTCTTCAAATAGTAGATAAGTATAAAGATGATTTATTAACATTAATTAGTAGAATTAAAATCATAGACATAAATACTTATTCGTAAATACTTATTCATAAATACTTATCTCTAAATACTTAATTACCTAATACTTTTCAAATAGTATGTGGGTATAAAGATGATTTATTAATGTTAATCAGTGAAATTAAAATCATGAAAATACTTATTCATAAATACTAATCTTTAAAATATTTAATTATCTAATACTCTTCAAATAATGTGTGAGTATAGAGATGATTTATTAATATTAATCAGTGGAATTAAAATTATAAACATAAATACTTATACATAAATACTTATCTCTAAATACTTGTTTACAATTACCTAATACCCTTTAAATAGTGAGTGAGTATAAAGATAATTTATTAATATTAATAAGTAAAATTAAAATCATGAACATAACTACTTATTCATAAATACTTATCTCAAATACTTAATTACTCTAATACTTTTCAAATAGTGTGTGAGTATAAAAATGATTTATTAATATTAATTAGTGAAATTAAAATCATGAATATAAATACTTATTTATAAATACTTATCTCTAAATACTTATTTACAATTAATTACCTGATACTTTTCAAATCATTTCATTCATATTAATATAGTTGCTGAGTATAAAGATGATTTATTAATATTAAGCAGTAGAATTAAAATTATGAACATAAATATAAATACTTATTCATAAATACTTATCTTTAAATATTTTCAATTAATTACCTAATATTCTTTAAATCATTTTATTTGTATTAATAATAGTTAGTAAGTATAAAAATGATTTATTAACATTAATTAGTGGAATTAAAATTATAATATAAATACTTATTCGTAAACACTTATCTCTAAATACTAATTAACTAATATCCTTCAAATAATATATAAGTATAAAATTATATTAAAATCAACTCAATTATTCTTTAAACTACTGAAAATTAAAGAATAAGTTCATAATTAACATACAACCTGTTTTTACCTAGATTACCTGATTTCAAGTTCTACAGATAATCTGAGTAAAGAAATTGTATCTGAGTCTAACCTCTAGTGAGAGATAATTGAAGCAATTGAATTTTAATTTGATATGAATTGTTACTTATATATATGATTAAAAATTAACATATCAATCACTTGGTTATATGAAAATTTTATTGCTGTAAAATATCATTTTTATAACAACTCTTAATTTGTACTATTATTATTCAAACTAATTTATATCTAAGATACTACTTAATTAAATAAAGTCTTAGCCTTTAATATTTTGTAAGTTAACACCAAACTCTTCCCGACGATCACTTGAACCTATGTAGAGCAATACTGACCTGTAGAAAAATTTAGAAAATATAACAAAAGGATACACAACTCCTTCTAGTAATACAGTGGAATTAAAATGTTCAGCTCGTAGCTTTTGAAA